TGATAATGAATTTGTTTATTTAAAAGGCTAAAATATTGAATAGAAGAGAAAAAAAAGTAAAACATTATCATAAATAATGAAATTTTAATAATGAAATTTGCTCATTTAAAAGGCTAAAATATTGAATAGGAGACTGAAAAAAAGTTAAGTAAAACATTATCAACAACTTTGATAATGAATTTGCTTATTTAGAAAAACTATTTCCGAAGTAAAAAATGTTGAATATGGAGAGTAAAAAAAAAAAAAAAAATTATATGAGGCTGAAAGATTGTACAGAGGGAGTTCACATATTTTTTTAACGATTTTGATTTTCTCCATGAATTTAAATGTTAATTTTAAAGTATAAACGTGACTAGCATCGAATTAGGATAAGGTTTAATTATCATCGGCAGTATTAAAAATAGTCTTTACTTTAAAATGTCGCTGAAAAATAAACAATGGATCGAAGCCTATATTTTTGCGCTATTCGAAAAGAAACACTCTTATTTAATTATTAAAAAAAAGATGTGGAAAGCATGGTTTTAGTACTTCTACACGTAGAATAAGTGACATAATTAATATGAAAGGAAAGAAACGTCAAAGTTTACATCTAACTGGTAAAAAGGCAAAACATTCATACCCAACAAACGTACGTAGAGCTCTTATTAAATCTAAAGTCACGTCTTACGTTGTAAAGGAAAATCCAGCCCCCCCCCAAAAGAGGTATTGCAAAATCTTTAAAATCTCTGTAGGAACTTTGAACAAAATTATAAAATCTGATTTAAAACTAATCGAAAAAAAAAAAAAAAAAAACATGATGATCGTCGCCAAACGCCGAAACATGTTTCTCGGCGTAAGATTATGCGCAGATTGCTGCATGAAAATTATTTGGCAGGTGAAAAATGGAAGTATATAGTGATGATTATTGGGGCTTGTATATACGTATCTGATTGCAATAGAAAAAGATCGATTTACTACCGAAAAAGAGGAGAAATTATTTGCAAATTTCAGAGAAAACAAAGATAGTTTTTCTGAAGGTTTCATTGTTATTATCGATTTTCTTATAACGGAAAACTTTAAATAAGTAAAGCAGAAAAAAAAAATGTCAAAATTAATGCAGATTACTATCAGAAATATGTTTTAACACCAATTTTTAAAGAAGCAATTCCATCTCTTTATCCAAAAATCTTCACTGTGTTAAGTTCCATGAGGATAAGGCTTCAAGCCATACCTTTAAATTTATTGCTCTAGTTTTTGAAAGAATGAGAAATGAAATCGGAACTGAAGCTATTCCCTTTAAATGCATACCACCCAAGTTCTCCGATGTGTATCCTATGGATTACCGTGCATATGGACTTTTGAAGCAAGCTCTTTATAAGCGGCATCCCAAAACATTGGATGAGCTTTGGAAGATTGTGAAGGAGGAGTGGAATAAAATCAAACTAAATGTTTCAAGAAAAGAACTTTTATCTTGGATGTCAAAACTTAGTTCAATATAAAGGCCTATCAGCTCGAACATATTAGAAAATAAAATTCTAAGGTTTATTTATAGATAAATCTTTACAAAACCGTTACAAAAATCTCTGAACACCCTCTGTATATGAAAAACAAACGGGGTTATGAAATGTGCAGAACTGCATGAGATGGCATAATTAATACAAAGCTATTGAAAATGGATTCGGTTGAAACTATTAGACATATGTCCTGCAAAAATTTAATTGATTTTAATTAGTAAGTGAAGCAAACATACAGCATGTGTTCGTCTGATATTGCAAATTAAAATGCAGTTGTTTTGGAGCTAAACTATTTAAAGATGCTGAGTGCATATGTAGAAACGTATTGCTTAAGACTAGTGGCCAAAATTAATTAAAATTTAACGTTAAAAACAGAGATATTATTACGAGATTTTAAAATGTTTGCTTTCTGTGATGAAAGTTACATGTTTTCTAATCTAAGCCTTAAATTAGATTTAAGTTTAAGTATCATAAATATAACAAAAAATAAAAAAATAAAGCAATTTTATATATTAATTGATAATTAACGTTAAAATTTTTAATTTTTAATGATTAATTTTGTATCTAATTTTAAAATTTCTCTTCTTTACAATTATTAATATCAATTCCTTCAGCCTTGAGATTGTTGCATATCTGCTTTCATTTGCTGTCGCTTTAAATCTCTTCGTTTTCTTAAATAATTCAACTAAATAATTTTTGCATAAAAAATCACCTTGATAATAATTGTATCTAAAAATTTATAATTCAAATAATTAAACTGTTTTAACGAAGAGATAAAATCAAAGTAAAAACTTAGTTTGTGAATCTATGAAATATAATTATTTATTTCACCAGCCGTCCTTTAACATTGCGAGCAAGATATCAAAAAGCATTGATCACTAATGATAATAATTACCTTGAAGAAGAATAAAGCAGACTATTTCCTGTTTCTACTTTCACCGATCTTTTCCGAAAAGTCTCTGAGGCCATATTCAGACGCTTTCTAATATGAACGGTCGAAAGTTGACTGACCAGTTCAAGGTCCAAGTAACCCAGTTATTAAGTTTTGGGCGTTGTTGAGGAAAGTGAGTAAACCTTCAAATTACTGCGCCTCTGAATGTGATTCAGTTTCATATAAATAGCTTTCGGATATTCAGTATTCTCAGTCCGGATAACTGCTAATTACAGAATAAACTTCGGAGTTAAACATGTTCTTCCAAGTAAGTCTCATTCTCTTTGCAATATATCTGTCTGGAAATCTATAATGAAATATGACTCAAGTCATTACTTTAAATGCTCTAGTAAAGTACAATCAACAGTTTTTAATGTTTGAAATATAAAGATATCAGTTTTTAACTTAAAATTCCGTTAAAATTTTAGAAACTTAACATGCAATGGATATTACAACTTGAACTGTTGCAATTCAGAATTTGAATTAAGAGTATTTGTAAGCTGAGGTGTCTATGCTTTTAATTTTATCACGAAAAGGACTTTCTTCATGGGTGTAGGTAGGCAGCTTTAACAAAAATGCAATATTTTATTTAATACATTTAATTAAAAGCATTTATTGGTATAATTCAACTGCAAAAGGTAATCTAGATATTGTTATTAAAAAGGTAATCTAGATATTGTTATATTGTTCCTAAGCTGATGAATACTTTAGTGCGTATTAGCTTTCCAAATTTTCCATAACTTAAAATTCAATGTTTCCTCAAATGTGATGCAAAAACCGTTTGTTTGGAATTAATAAAAATAAATCAGCTTAAAAAGTCAAAAGTGTTTCTCTTCCTACAGTATGATACAAATATTAAGAAACTGATAAGAAGTTTAGAATTAAACATTTTGTGAAAAATGAAGAACGAGTGATAACCTTGCAAATTAGAATTCTGCAGAAGAGAAGTAACACAACAGCTTTCTCAGAAATTTAATTAATAGTTTTAATTTTTTGTTTATTAAAAAAGTCGTTTTCTTTTTAACGATAAGAAAAACAAATTAAGAGAATTGTAATGCTGAGAATGAAAAAATTTCTTTTTCCTCGGTCTGTATTCATTGATTTCGTATATAATTTGAAAATAATGAAAAAGGACATCTTCAAAGGAAACATTATTATATTTGTAACATTTTCTATCAGAGACACACGAGTGCAAATGAACTTTGATTCCAAGCAGTGCTTCGCAACATTTGGAACAATTTTTAAAAATGTAATTCATTCATACGTTTTTTAGTATTCTAAGTATTGATCTCATACATTAAATGAACTTTCGAAATTTTACAAATTTCCTGTCATAGAAATTAAAACGTTGACATTTCTAAGCAGAAAAACTTACTCCATTTACTGACTGCTACCTGCCGCAATATTTCTTTAAGAAATGTTTGGTACTTCAAGTCCTTTCATCAGTGAAAGATATAAAAATGCAGTTAGTGGATCTGAATCTTAACATTACATATGGGTAGTATGAAATTCACTCTAAGTTGTTGGTTGCTGGTTTCATATACTTTTATGTGCAGATAAACACAAAGTTGTTAAAAATGATACTTCAGTTTTGTGATTAATTTCATTTAAAATTTTCTTACTTACGTCGTACTTCTTTATACAGTTATTGCATTTTGCAGTTATTTACGAGCTTTACACATGTTGTTATGAAATTTGATCTGAAATTATATTAATCGAATACGAAATTTATATTATATAGTTAAACATTTATAACTAATAACAGTTATAAGGGAACTTTATGCTATTTTCGATTTGTTAAGCTGAAAATTGAAGTCTCTGAAATAGAGAAATTCTTTGATTTTTTAAATTATCGTAACTTTTAAATTCATGTTATGAAAGTTCTCTTAATTTTTTCCGGAAATTTTGATCATACTATTCGTCCCTTTTCTAATAAACTTACATTTAGGAGGATAATTAGTACGCTTAAAATATATTTGCTTCGCATCATATCTCATTTTCATTAACTACCAAGAGTATGTTGGTAAAAACAAGTTTTCCCTGTTAATAGGTTTTAATAGATAATATTTAATTTAATAAAAATAACACATGAATACTGAATTAATCATGAACCCAAAATTACACTGACTATTCTCAATAGTTATAAAGTAGTTCTTATCGTCCTTCTGAAGATTTAATTTTGTGTAATTTCCACTAGGACTTAGGTTCATCTAATAGAAATACAATGTGATGTTCTGCATTTCTTTTCCTTGTTTCCTGGATTCTTAAACTACTATTCTAGTAAATCGGAGTTATCACAAAAATATTCTTATTAAAAGTAAAAATCACTGAATTGATGCGATACTTTTACTAAGCAATAAATGTTTATATTCTTAAATTAAAGCAGTTTTAATGGGGGCTTTTTAAGATGAAATATTGTTTCGCTTACGTGGTGGATGTAGTTATAAATCTGAAAGAAAATGATACATTTATTCTAAAACTAAACATACTGTAGTACGAAAAGTAATGCAATGAAACAATTATGCAAAGTGCATACTATGGCAATTTGACAATGTAAACTATCTTTTTTTTTGCAGTTTTATTCAGGATTCTTTCTGTCTGTGCTACTGAGTGTAGTTCTTGCCTATCCTCCTTACGGTGCACAAGTTCAACATCAGTATATACCAGTACACACCCAACACGCTCCTTCAGTTCAGTACCAAGCAGCACCTGTTCAATACCAGGCAGCCCCCGTGCAATATGAAGCAGCACCAGTGCAGTATCAGGCAGTACCGGTAGAATATGCTCATGCACCAGTTCAATACCAACATTTACAGGAACCTCAAATCCAGAGCGTTCCAGTAGCATATGCACAGGTCCAGCCATCCATCCTGAGTTCTGGAGAAGAAAGCCACGGAGTTCACGGTCAGCAGTTATCCGGTCACTCACAAGCTGGTTCAAACGAATACGTTGACAAATTCGCAACTAGTGAAAAAGCAGCAGCTGCCCATGGACATCACAACACTGGTGCATTAAGCAAGCACGCTGCTCAAGGCGCAAAACACAGCCATCAAGGCACTTACCACAACACAGGCTCATATTCCCAAGATAAAGGCAGTGGCTACGAGAAATCATACTCTTACGACAGAGCTTCAGGTTTTCATGATATTACTGCTCATGATGCTGCCCATTCAGATAGTTATGGAACCAAAAATGAACAAGGCCATCATTCTGTGGGTGCCCAGAGTGTAAATAAGCACGCAAAAGAAAGCGCACACAGCAAAGCAGGAAGTTCTTCACACAGTGCCCAAGCTCACAATTCTGCACTGTTCAAGAAATACGGGTACACTAACGGAGGAGCACAAGATGGCTACAGTTATTCTCCTGTATATGGATACGGGTATCATTAAACTTTGTGGATGAGAAGTAGGTAATTTAAAAAACTATCTTTTACCACTTTCTTTAATTTATTATATTAATTTCACTTTAGTTAGCGTTTATTACATAAAATTAATTGCTCTTTTTTTAAAAAAAATTAACTTCAAACGTGACTTTTATATACGTTTTTAAGATATGTAATTACGCGAAAGCTAGCTCTGCAATCTAATATTATTAAATTTTATAGAAATCAAAGTTAGGCAATTTCATTTGAAGTTTTACGTCACTTGAAGCAGTTTTGATGTTTTTGGAGTAAATAAGTGATATTTGGCTTCATTTTATTATCATTATTTGGAAGTAGTTCATTTTGAAGTATTAAAATTTATATTTGGCACAGATGCATTTAATCACAAATACATAGCATGTGCATTATATGTTAATGCATTCTATATGAATGACGACAGAACTTGTTTTGAAACGTATTTCTATAAAATATGTGACAAATATCAAACATATAAAAATATGAATTATAAATGGAAGTTTAAATTTTAATTCTTAAAACTTGTAAAATAATTTTTTTATTTTCTACATTTTCTTTCTTATTTCTGAAACATGACTAAATATTAATGTTCGTGAACAGTACTAAATCTTAAAATTTTAAAAATTTAAAACTACCTAAAACGCTGACTAAAAGTGCGTTAAAGATAGAAAAAAATTTTTGTTTTTGTTAAAGCCGCAAAAAGATGTATGAATAGCTGAAAAAAATTAGGAACTGCTATGTAATTAACCTTTATGTTTGCAGTAAAATAATGCATTTTATTTCTGAAGGTTTTAGATATGAAAGGATTTTAATTAGAAATTTGAATTTTACAGCAGTAATAAAAAGATTTACATTAAGCCTTTATCACCAGAATTATAAATAAGTGAAACAGCACTTAAAAATTTGAAATAAAACAGAAATTATAATTTTTGAAAATTTTGAGTATTGCGAAACATTTTTGCCAATTTAATTATAGGGTTTTTATTATTTTGTTAATGAGCTTCAGAATTTTGATTTTCATCAAATCTTTTGTTCTTGAAAACGCTTCGTTGAAAAATCTAACTTTTGAAGATTGTGAAGAAACCAAATATAAATCATAAATGGAATAAATGTTTTAGGCTTGAGCTCTAAGAAGAGTTTTTATTTCACGGTCTTTAACGTTCTTTAATTATTTTTTTATATCGCAAAACTTAATTTTAAATTAATGTATTTAATACATGTTTTTATTATACGCGGCTTGCTCAAGAGTCGGTACTCCAGATAGTTTGCTTATTTACTCTGCAGACGAACAAACGAAAAACATTGCGTTTCTCAAGCTTTATGCTAAAAACAATCTTTAAAAAGTAGTATAAAAATGATGCTTGTGTTCTATCTAAATAAAATCTACAGCTTTATTTGAGTTTGGTAAAAATTGTGGAATTCACCTTGGACCAAACGCAAAAGGAAAATTACTGTCTCTCTGAGGTTTCGAAAAAACTAATCCATCCCTTACAAACCTCTTCACTCTGCATAAAGCCTGGGAAATGCCGAGTACTTCAGCTAGAAAGTAATAGGTAATAATGTAATGATGTTGTGATATCCTGTCAGAAGCCATCTGGTTTTATTTTTTAACATCATATTTTAACGTTGGAATGCATTTTAAATGGAGTAAATATTTTTTAAATGTCGAAAATGTTGCTTTATAGTTAGTTATCTTTAATGAAGTACATTTCTATATTACACATACATAAAATGACTGCATATATATAAAGCTTACTTACTCTGTTATGGAAATTAACTTATTTTTAAAATTACGTCACTATAAAAGCCAATAAAATATGTATAATAACTTAAAGAAATTTGTGAAAAATTATCGATGATGTGTACTATAATTACTACTTCTGTATGTAAAATTTATACTTGCTTTCTTTTCCATTTCTAAAGAATGATATTTTATATTAATAGCTTTGAGATTCCACATTCTTGCTCAAAGTCCGACTGACATAAGCAACAGGAAAGGGAAATGCTGACGAAGATTTATTTATTACTTGCTTTCTGTACAGCTTCGTGATCATTGATGTTCTTCTTGTGCTTTTATTTGTTTATAGAAGAATTAAATAAACATTTTTATTTTATTTTATATTTCGTTTTTCTTTCTGAAATTATTATTAATACGTAATTGCAGAACTCTATTAGTAGTCTTTAACCACAAAAAAAAAATCTTGTAAACTAGGGTTTCTTAAACGTTTTCTAGTCGCGACCCCTTATTATCATTGAGAATCGTTTCGCGACTCCAGATATTAGATATAATAAATATACAAAAATAAATATTCTCCCGTAAAAAATTTACTTCTTTGGTAAACAATATACATATAAAAAGAATAAGTTTTAGGATTTATTTTAAGCAAACAAAAATTAAAGAAAATTCTAATGAGACATATGTGCCAGTTTTCTGCTGCATAACAAATTAAATATTGGTGCAATATTTCACACTTGACATAAAGCATTTTCAGCGTTGGACGACATTTGGTTTTAATTAGCGTTAAAGCTGAAAACAGTAGTTTTATAATAATATGTGATGCTGAATGAGAGAAGAACATTTAATGCTAATTCAAGAAATAGAGAGAAATCTAGTTTTAACTCGAATGCAGAATTCATGAAGGATTTTTGCAAAAACTCAAGTTTTAAGTTTGAATCGCTAGATAGTTTTACATATTTACTTTTGCACTTTTTATAACAGGTAACTAATCTCATTAATACCAGTTAATGTAACGTCTTTAAAAGTCTAACCTCATTAATATCAATTAATTTAATTTCTTTAAAAGTCATGAAAAAGTCTTTAAATTCAACTATCGAACTGAATTTTCGCGACCCCAATATTTCGATTTGCGACCCATAGTTTAAGAAACTCTGTTGTAAACTATGCTTCCTAAGTACATTGGTACCTCGGTATACGTCCACTTTGAGCTTCAAAATTTTAGTTTGGTTTACGATATTCGTCTGGAATACAACTAAAGTTTGATAAGTTATGACTGCACGTAATATACGTGTTTAGTGCTTTCGAGTCAATGCTACGATTGTTCATGAGCGTCACTACGCCTGCTGCTACAATTTCATAAGCAACCCACACTAATACACTGAATTTTCAAATTTGTGTTTTTTTATCGTATTTGTTTTTAAAACTCCTTAACATTGAATTTTGGGAAAGTTAACGAGAAGATTCAAGCAACGTGGAAAACTATTAGGATCACTATGGAGGTGAAAAAATAGATTATTGAAATGTATGAAGAGGGTATAAGTATCTGGGTCTTTGCTATTGCAAATCGAACGATACCATGATGTCTAAGACTCTTAAAAACGAAAACTCTACTAAAGCGATTCACTTGGCGAAGGGGTGAAATCCGTTACCAAAAATCACAGACATTAGATAATGCTGAAAAATTGCTTTTGATCTGGATAGCAAAAAAATACTTACGTACAGTATAACGTGCAGTATTTTATTTATCTACGGTGCTATATATTTCACTCACTGCGTTTATATTTTAGCATTAAACAGTGTTATAATGATTACAAAGAAATGTTTTTAAGAATGGATTACGCATCTTCTTATTTCTTATTGGAAATATTCGGTTGGTATACATCCATGAATGTAAAACGAATTTATGATGTAAATTACCGAAGTACCACTGTACTATTTTTCTATAATTTTCACGTTAATATTTGGGGAATAATACTTAAATAATACTTTTTTTTTATATATCTGGAGAAAGCATTTCGTTTTTTTGCCCACCAGCGGCCGAGCGGTAAAGTCGCTGAACACTGGTAGTTCGGTCCGAGGTTCGAATCCCGCGAACGGGCTGGCTGCATGGATGTTTTCGTGGTTTTCCCCATGTGTAACGTGTATACGAGCCAGTTTCCCTTAGAAAGTCCTCCACGAAGGTATCCCTCCCCTTAGGCAGATAGCCCTCGTGTGCTTTGCCATAATTAATACACCACCATTTCATTTATTTTATTCTCGACATGGTTATAAATAATTCTGATGGTTACACACGGTTCTTCTGAAAATCCTTACCAATATGCTTCGAATACAGTTTACATAACATCCTATATTTAAATGATTTATTATATGATTTACCCTCCACATTCAAGCTGAGCGTTAAATTAATTATCTAATACACTAAAGTAATTTTTAATGCCATATCGATTCGAATAAAATAGGGTCTTATATCAACATTGCTACATTTTTGAAGAAGTTTTATATTAAAAAAGGCTTACGTTTAAGATGGCTTAATTTGAAGGAATTAAATATTTTGAAAGTATTTCAAAAATAAGACAATCTATATATATATATAAAAGGAAGAGTCTGCCTGTGTGTGTGTCTTTCGTTCGTACTGCACGTAAGCTAATAGACACAGGGATACGAAATTTTGTACATAGGGGTGCATTTAGAAAAGAGCCAGTGCATCTCGAAGCGATTTTTTTCAAAATTCGAATGAGTTTTTTTTTTAATGTTTTCTGATGAAATCGCATCAAATCGATAATTCTCTCTCATTATATCAGCAACAATGGCTGATATCAGCACTGTTGCTGCTTGGAAAAATGAGGGCGATAATTCTGTACAGTTTTTAAATTTAATGTTTCTCTTGGATACTGGACGTTTGTCGAGAGAAGGCAACGGGATGTTGGTTAATTTATTTATTAGGATAATTAATATTTGTAGTAAGGGATATTGCTTATTTCATTGTAATTTTTTTATATGTAATAAATTTTTAGCGCAATTTGTGTTTTTTTTTTAGTTTTTTGATAAATTTGTTCTTCAGAGTAAAATTCTGTGCAGTTTTTAAATTTAGTGTTTCGAATTTCCTTTAGGCATTTCCCCGGTACATTTAAAAGCCAGACGAAGGCTGGCCGCATAGCGGCTAGTTAGTTTATAAAATCATATCTCAAAATATAAACTGTATAAGTACGTTACTGTAATATCAAACTTTAGGAATAAAAAAGGAAATATCTTAATACATTTGTTAAATACCACGAAGCGTCTATAAGATGAGCATTTTTCCAAAAGCTAATTTTAAACGAAAAAGCACTTTTTTATTTTCGAGCCATTTCGATTCATTGAGGTCAGAGGAAATTCAGTGAAACCATAACAAGAAAATCTGGGGCAGAAAACTGAAAAGTTATTTTGTTTAATTAAGCGATTAATCATATCGTCAAATAAAACACTTGTTAAATCTCATGATATTAAATGTTGACAGCTAGGTCGTTGTCAAAAGGTTTCTAAAGTACTGCTTAGAACAAGATACATTTATTTGACAGTACAGGTAGGTCAATGTTAATATTTTGAAAATTTTACTTATTTTATTATTCATTGTCACCACAAAGCATTGATTACATTTTTGACATATGCGCAAAGAAAACTGCTGATTATTTAGTACGAGTTTCATCACCAGAAATTCTTACCATCATGGTAATTTGAAAATTTTTCTTTTGTGAATTTTACTACAATTTATGACAAGAAAAGATTTGTTACTTGTATTTTGCTTAAAACATTAGATTTTAGAAATTAACGCAAAATTGTTTTAAATTATTTACTACGGAAAAAAAATCTTTGAATGAATTGAAAACATTTTATCATTTATGTCGTGTGTTGAAAGCTTGAAGATATTCTCTAAGCAAAACAGCCAATAATCTGCATACATTTATTTCATGATAATCCTATGGTTCCTTTTGTATGGATAAGCTCAATCCTATGGGTTCCTTTTGTATGGAGAGAGAAACTGCTATCATCATAATAACATACACTTAAAACAAAGTAATTTTAATACTTTTCATTTTATTAATACGCTTTTCATAAATAGATACACTGTCAAATCATTTGTGTAGATCAGATGAATTTTGTTATCATGCATATGGGAATATTATTCGCATAAAACATTCACATACATTTAAACATGCTTAACATTACAAAGCATAAATTTATGGTAATAAATAAGCCTTTACAAATATTTTAGATAAAAATTGAGCATTTTATTCTTTGTGCTACACACAGAATCAAGAATTGTTTCACCGAAACACCAGCTCTTGAGACTTTAGGATAATTTGAAAATTTCTTTTATATCTCACTGAATACACGTTGACTGTCCATAATTCTTCACAGTAGTTTCGTACACCTATTAAAATACACTTAAATTCAAAAAGCTTCGAAACAAACAAACAGATTAAAATTTACAATATGAGGCAAATCATACAAAAAAAGAAAATATTTTTTTTTGGTATTGCGAGAGGTAAACGTGAACGAGTGAAAGCATCCAGCTCGAGATGGAGTGGAATCTCACAACTTTTTTAACTGATATTTCTTGGGGAATTTTGCACAGGTTAATGGAAATACTTTGCTATTAAAAGGATTTCTTAAAGTAAAAAATTAAAATGTTGCAATTAAAATACACTGGTGTGCAAAAATTAAGGACGAGACGGTTTTTCAATATAACTTTGTGCAAAAGCTTTCCAAATCAACAGATTTAATACCGTAAGATCCCCAACACGTAAGAACATAAGTAATGTAAGCAACACTTACTAAAAGAGAAATCAGAGGGATAAAAAGAAGCTTTATTGAAAAAGTAGCATGGAGCGCAATGCGACTGAAGGCCGAAACATCCCTGTGATGGGTGTCCAGCAAGAAACATCCGGTATTTAATAGGGGATATGATCTCCCCTGACTGCTAGGCAGGTTTCACAACGTCTGTCCATGCTGAGAATGAGGGTCTCAATGAGTTGTTGAGGTATTGCTGCCCATTCGTCTTGCAGCGCCAATCGAAGCTCCGGAATCGTTACTGGTGGTAAGGTACGAGCTGCCAAGCGTCTGCCTAGAAAATCCCATTCATGCTCGATGGGATTGAGATCCGAAGATCGTGCCGGCCAATTCATACGTTCAATATCCTCACTCTCTAAGAGCTGTTCGGCAGCTACTGTGCGATGACATGGTGCATTGTCGTCCATGAAAAGGAACTGCGGACCCATAGCGCCTCTAAAAAGACGCACATATGGAAGAAGAATCTCGTTACAATAACGGGTCCCGTTGACTGAACCTGCGTCGAAGATGTGAAGGTCTGTACGACTACCAAGCATGATGCCTCCCCAAACGAGAACACCGCCACCTCCATACCTGTCCCTTTCAATGATGTTCGAGGGATGATTGCGGCTTCCCCGCTCTCTCCAGATGAGTATGCGATGAGAATCGCTACTCAGACTGAATCTGCTCTCATCTGTAAAGAGTACTCGTCCCCATTCATTGTCTCTCCAATTCCGGTGTTCCCGGCACCACAGAGAACGCCCTCTCCGATGGGCAGGCGTTAGAGGTACACACCGTACAGGGCGTCGTGCAAACAGACCACCACCGTGCAGTCTTCTGGCCACGGTAAAACGCGATATCGGTCGTCCAGTCGCCTGTGTCGTGTGTCTAGCGATTTTCTCCCGCTGTCTGCCGCCTGTTTCTTCTGGCCTGTAAGGCAATATACCGGTCATCTGCTGGGTGTGGTTCCTCGTGGACGACCACTACTAAACCCCCGGATAGCTGTTCCTGTAGTTTTGAAATTGTCTCCAAAGTCGTGAAACGATGCTGTGAGCAATTCCGAACTCTGCAGCCACACTTGTCACACGGCGGCCTTCCTCCAACTTCCCAATGATTCGACCTCGGGTAAAAGCATCCAGATGTCGTCTAACAGATTGATTATTCGCCATTTCTCGCTGAGGCAGCAACTCGGGTGTGATTTTAACTGCTATACGGCTGCAATGCAATCTCTTTGCCAGAAATACTGATCTTACACCGACAACATGCTTTATACTACTCAGACACTCCCCCATTACGTCTACCTGCATATCTGCGCATGTGCTACCGTACATCACCTTACTTAATCTCCTGATTGGTCTTTCTGTCCGCTCTGCCTCTTCGTTCAGCTGATATGCTAATTTTTCGACTTCGTCCTTAATTTTTGCACACCAGTGTATATAATTACGTATTTCACTCAATGCTTTTCGAATTGTTGAACTCATTTCGTTATTTGATTGAGTGGCAGAGCATATAAAAATTACTCATTCAGGTTATTTAAGTTACTCAGCAAAATTGCATATATTTTATGAAGCTTTATCTTTACTTCATTAGACCTTATAGTAAAATATTGTACTAATCGCAATTATGTCTTATATACAATACTGAACAGTGCCTAATTGAAATCGGTGATACGAGTGATAAAGAACCGAATTAAATCAACACAATGACAAACGGCAAAAGACAGTCATTATCTGTCTTAACATGTAAAACAGCTTCACCATAGAATCTTTTAGCCTTCTTAAAAATTCTTTGTTACATGCTTCAGACGGAGTTTGGCAAACTCAGGTGCCATTCCCTACATGAATGTTTTCTCTTTCCAGTCTTTTTGTTATCAATTCGATGGAAGGTGATTCATTTGAAAAAAAATTATAAGTTATTTTATACTCAAACATAACGTATGAAAACAAACACTTCATATGTAAAAGATTGTAGCGTTAGATGGATTTAATGTCTAGGCCTTTTCCAGATGCCGAGCGTTGTAATAATGAGATTTTCACTCACGCTATGGCTTCAAGCTTTGTATTTATCAAGGTAGTCTGATTCAAAGAGGGTCAGACGAATTCATATATAGTTTGGACAAGACAGCCTTTGGATACTATTTATTCGACTGATGTTGCATTTTGCATATGACATAAAAAACTGCTGATATCTTCAACTAGCCATCTTATTAACGAATACCTTTTATTAATAATTTTCTATCAAGTGTAACAATGTATGTGTGTTCATTGGTGATGCATTTACATTTTATAAAATTTGAATTGCCATTGTCTCATTTCAGCATTTTTCCGTCTCTTTCCAGTGTCTATGATCCTTTCAGTGTCACGCATTTACATTTTATAAAGTCTGAATCGCCATTGTCTCTTCAGTATTTTTCCATCTCCTTCCAATGTCTAAAAATTGAATAAATTCAGGAATAATAAGACAAAAAGGCAATATTTCAGAATCCTATGTGACTAACAGTTGGATCTTACGACCATGATAATCTGAGGAAAATATTCGTTTCTTTTTAAAACTGACTGATGTTTTGCAATAACAAAATCAATGAAGACATCGTTGTCATGTTACGCAGTCTCAATGACTTTATTGCAAGAATCGGTTTTAAGAAATCGTGTGATAACTTGAAAATATATATATTGAAAGGGACAGGTATGTAGGTGGCGGTGTTCTCGTTTGGGAAGGCATCATGCTTGGTAGTCGTACAGACCTTCACATCTTCGACGCAGGTTCAGTCAACGTGACCCGTTATTGTAACGAGATTCTTCTTCCATATGTGCGTCTTTTTAGAGGCTATGGTCCGCAGTTCCTTTTCATGGACGACAATGCACCATATCATCGCCAGTAGCTGCCGAACTCTTAGAGAGTGAGGATATTAACGTATGGATTGGACGGCACGATCTCCGGATCCAATTCCACGAGCATGTATGCGATTTTCTAGGAGACGCTTGGCACTCTTACCTTACCCCAGTAACGATTCGGAGCTTCGATTGGCGCTGCAAGACGAATGGGCACAATGCCTCAACAACTCATTGGACCCTCATTCTCATGCATGCGCAGACGTGTGAACCTGCCAGCAGTCGGGGAGAACATATCCCCTATTAAAGACCGGATGTTTCTTGCTGGACACCCATCACAGGGATGTTTCGGCCTTCAGTCGCATTGCGCCCATGCTATTTTCAATAAAGCTTTTTTATCCCTCGTTTCTCTTTGTAAGTGTTGCTTACATTACTCATGGTCCTTACGTTTGGGGATCTTTCGGTATTAAATCTGTTGATTGGAAAGTTTGTACAAGTATATGAAAAACCGTCTCGTCCTTAATTTTTGCACACCAGTGTATATACGTTTTTCTTAAACCAGTATTTGTATGATACTATTTTAATTCCTGAAAGTACGTTGTAAATTAAAAACTGATGTTTGTATCTAGGGGTTTGAAATATTGCATACAATGACATTAATGTTGTAAGGATAATTGTAAGGTTCTCCTTCTTTACCACAATCCTTCATGGTGTAATTAGAAAGACTGAAGGTCCGGAGTTCGAATACCTGTGTAGACACAGTTGAATTTTCATATTTTCTACTGCGAAATAAACTTATGGCTCAAAATTCTTATAGCGTTGTTTCAAACAAATAATTTCGGTTTTGTTTTGCTACAGTATTTACGAGAGTGGATCCCCGCAAAAAAAGGTTACAAGGGTAATAAAAATATTTATTAATAATAGACAGAAAATACACAAGGGAATTACGAGGCATACTTTTCTATCATTTTTCCGCATAATCACCAAAGCTATTTAGGCACTTATCTGAGCGCAGGATTAACTTGTTTAACCCGACTTGAAAGAAATCTCGTTCCTGTCCGTTTAGCCAGTTCTTGGTAGCTGCTTTCACATCCTTGTCTGAAGAAAACCTCATTCCAGATAATTGTTCCTTCAATTTTGGAAAGAGGAAATAGTCACTCTGTGCTAAATCTAGGCTATATGGGCTGACTCCAGACTTTTCACTTTTGCAGCAGTATCGGGCCGGGTATCTAAGTTTGGAGAGAAGTATCGCGCTGGGCATTGCCATGCAGGAGGATGATCCCCATCACTCAACATGTCGGGGCGCTTGCGTTGGATAGCTTCACGTAACCCTGTCAAAGTGGTGTAATAGCGAATGGCAGTAATGGTATGGCCAGGTTCCAGATATTCGATTAAGATAACGAATCACGGCTTTCACCTCTAAGGGAGACCATTTTTTTAATGTCTTGCCATTTCAATCGCTCTCATGCGTCTGAAAACTTTCTCATGCGTCTGCGAACTTTCATGCGTCTGCGAATTCCATTTACCCGCACAACCACGCCTAGACAAGTAGTGCAGACTGTCTTCAACTCTGGGATAAATTATTTCCTTCATAATAATTGCTTTTCAGATTCTGATGTCTGTAACCTTTTTTTTGGAATTATGTATATTCTACATAATACATAAAATAACTGTCTAGCACACTAACTCCAAAATACCAAATGAAGAGAATACTTACATTGAAAAATATCAAAATTATCATTTCTGTCGTCGTTTTCCACAGCTCATCCTTTTATCTATGCATAAAAACATAATAAATAGAATAAAATGTACATAATAGTAGAATTTTATAACAAATGAGTAAAAATGTAAAATACAGATTATGATTCCTTTCTGCTTCATATGTCTGAATACATCAACATAAATAAACAAACTACAATTTTAAATCATTAAGTACAGCTCTAATGTAAGCTTCTCTGCGCCTCGTGTCCAAAAAAATCCTTTAACCAAATAAAACGTATACGTTATAAGAGCTAAACATTTTAAAAATCAAGCTTTACTGCAGGACTGATAAACGCAGCTTGTTTATTCGATTTTCCTCCATTTATCAGCAGAATGATAGAACCGTATATCTGCTGGCTTGTGAATGCTTTAGAGCAGCCATTCTCAACCGGTGGTACGAAAAGAAACAACGTTTTTTAACTATTAAATTCAAAAAATCTCTTGAAGGAAAAGAACAATTGATAGCAATTTCCTGTGATCGAACTAACTGAAGATTTCAAAATTAATACACATGTTAACTTTTGGCTGAACCTAAAAAAAAAAAAAAAAAAAAAGAATTTAAAGGCATTTTAATAAAGCTATTAGATTTGTATTGCTTTTTGAGTAATCTATTTATTAACAAGGATTTCTTACATTTAATTGAAATAAAATACAGAACAAATTGAAGGGTTATCCTAATTTAGGTTTAAATAATAGTAAAGTAAGACCAGACATAAATAAATTGATTTTCTATACGCTCAAATTTAACACAAATTTGAATTAAAAAGTATTATAACTTAAATTTTGATAATTAAAATGTTAACTGATTTTTAATCTAATATTTTTTATAATACAAATAGCCAATAGGTTGCGCAAATGGCAAAATATATATTTAATATTTCTATTGCGCAATAGAAAAATAATCATTGTAAAATGTAGTGATGGTACTAAAGTTTTCAATTTTAAGTGGTACGTGTTTGTCAAAAGGTTGAGAACCTCTGCTTTAGAGCTTTCGCGAGCAATATACAATGTCTATCACATTCCATTAGGATTTGGTAGGAATCAGCCAATGCGAATATCACTGTAGTCATTATGCAGCACCAAGCAATGCGTTTAAGACAAGTATTTACAAATGAATTTAAAATATTTAGACGTGGTATGCGGAAGTCCGGCCATCCCTGATTTTCGTCGCCCGCGTACTTTTACGCGCTGCACTAAGAACAGCCCTAGCAGAGAGCATAGACAGGAGAATGCTACAAAAGGTGTGGACTAAATTCTGTTATTGCCTGGAGGTATATCTTGTAGCCAACGAAGCACACATAAAACATTTCACTAGATGAGCGAACTTAGTCAGTTTCCAGCTTTCTAAAGTATCATTTATAATTAATTGCATAGGAAAATGTTTGAAAAATACAATATCTCGAATCAACTTATAATAATGCCTCATTTCAGCATTGATACTGACTTCATAGTATCGCGAGCTGCGTTTACCATGAAAATGTCTGTGGTATTAATAGACATTTATTTCAATTATTTTTTTTAGATTTTAATGCCTGGCTATAACAAATGTAATGCTCACATTTTGCATCAACGGTAATATCGGGTTATAAACAAATCCTCAAATGTATACTGTCGTCCATGAAGATAAGTTCTTGGGTCTTCGTCACTCACAATTCCTTCCTGTTCTAAAACTGCTGCACCTAATGGAATATAAGACAATCTTACTTCGTGGAAATAGTTTACTTTTTTAATTTTTAAATGCTGAAAATTTACATGTTCGTAAATCGCCACCAGCAACGAATTTTTGTACATTATACTGGGTAGTTATAAAAGGCTTAGCCCAAGAATTCGTATTCATGTGGAAGATTAAGGGAGAAATTATGTTTGTTTAGTTGAACTCAACAAAGCAAGCAATGGCTAATAGCTTAAAGAGAGTGATGGATTGAGGAAGGCTGGTTAATGAACAAAGCTGAGGAGATATCTTAAGTAGCAGCAGCCAGATCCTAGCTAGTGGGATATAGAATTTGAGAAAGTGACCATCAATAGTTCCTTTTTTGTAGTTAGCGAAGCTTCGAACTGACCTCGCTCCTATCGCGCAATATCGGCTGACTTTCTGCGCACTATCATCCATGATACTGACGTGGATTTCCGCCTCTGATTACTTTTTGTTTTTGTCTTGCGTATTAAACTAATATATTTTCTAATCTAATTAAAGAAATGGGTGTAAAAAAGGTATGCCATCTTTATCCTTTCGTTAACGTATATCTTCACAGAATGGTGACTCTAGAATTTCTCGACTATGGTAAAATAAGAGCTCAAGGCAAAGCAATGATTTAGTTGCTTTCGAATGAACCTAACTTGTATTTGTATCACATGTGGGCAAATCTACGACAATTCCTGCAGTTATCCTTTTTGCCAGGATTTGAACGTGGTCGAATTACAATTGCTCAGCCATTCATAATCTTATCCACTCAGCTAATGGTGGCTCAAGGGAAAAATTAACTAAGCCTAATATTAAAGTAGAAGTTATTTGCTGATTTCTAGCTAAAAGTTAGACGAGTCAGTTATATGTGAAGAGAAAGAGCTTATAATTTCAGGCTTAAAATCCGAACTGAAGCTTCATCCGAGACTTAAGGATTTCCCCATCATTTTAGATCAGGGTTGTACTACGTCTTCTTAAGGCCTACCTAAAAGTTTTAGAAGCAGTCTGGTGCGAATAGTACAGCATGCTTGATAAAAATGTAATAAGCGCAAAATAAAATCAATATTTACTTATATGTATTACATTGCTTTTCACAGTATTTGTAATCGAAACAAAAGCGCAAAAATAAACTATAAAATTGCATACACCAACTATATATGCAAATAGTAATGTAATTTTTAAATTTCACTAATAAATGAAAAAAATATTAATTAATCTAAAACATAATAAATAAGTCCCGGACATATACACGTCACTGAATTTGTAAAACCACATCAGTAAATTTATAAACTTAAAGAAAGGGCATAAACTATTGGTGTAAACATATTCAGCCGTGGAACCTTAGCTTTCGTGAAACTTTAAGCTTTCATATAATGTTTTTTATTGCACTTTGATACAAATGGCACTTACTTAGACATTATTATTAGCACTTATTTAGGCATGTTAACTAACTATGTTTATGTTCTCTAACTATAATTCGTTCACACATATGTATATCGTACACTTACACTCTTGTTTATTCATGTTCTTAACTTGTATAATGCTTACAAGCATAATGTTTATTTTTAATAACACGGGTTTGAGTTGCTTACTTAAAATAAATGTACATTTTTGCTTTAAGTATTTTGAAAATGTTTTAGAGGTTTATGACAATTTTAAAAATTAGGAGATTAATTGCATTACTTAGAAATTTTGAAAAAAAACCTAATAAATTTGCATATATAATGAGCATGAAAGTTACATGTGATTTAATAATTTTATGACATACTACCATAAAATAATTTAATATAAAATCTATTACAAAATGTTTCATTCTTGTTGTATAACATTACAAAAAACTATGGTATTTTGCAGTTGTATCATCAGTCCTCTTCAGTTTTGACATTTCTTGAGCGAAGATTCGTATTGCAAAGAAAGATCGTAATCTACTAATTGATTATATTAATACTGTTTTGTTTAAATAACTATTTTATATGAATTTAAGCACATAAAATTACATTTAAGTGTTGAAAGTATATAGAATGGAGGAACAGGATAGAATGGAGTGAAAGTTAAAACATTTAAAGGAAAACTTTATTAAAATATAATAGCGGCTTTTAGTGTATTTTCGAGACGTATTTTTAATGTTTAAACGTAAATTCTCGAAGACTTGTGTTTAGTGATAGTAACTACCATTTAGTTAGCCACGTTATTCGCAGCTAATCCTGCGGTGACCAAAAGATCCATCGACGACAAACATTTTTATAGTAACCAAAATCAATTTAATAAAATGTATGCATTAAATGAGTTTCCATTAAATAAATCTCTGTTAATTAGATTATAAATTTATTTAATATTTTCATCACGTTAAGTGTTTACATATTACTCAATAGTATTTTTACGAAAATTGTTTACTTACCTTACTTTTACCACTAAATGAAAAATTTTAGAAAAAAATATCTAGCGAAAGGAAACTTTTTACCTAGCTAAACGCCCATTATTAGAAAATAACTAAATTTTACGCCAGTACTTTATTTCAATAAATGCGCATTCAGAAAAGGTGGCACCGTACACTGGAAATGTGAGAAATCAACTGAGCTTTCGCTAGGGATAGACAGTCTAAGTTGTTAAGCTGAGTATAATAACCCTATATCACAAGAATCCGTGGGAAGGATGAACAATTTTTTATAAATTTAACCTACATTTTTTCCCATAACTATCAGAAAATGATACCATTTTTCTTCAGCCCATGAGCACAATTTCCGTTTCAGTTTCTTCGAATGTTAAGCAGCAAATTACTAATAAATTTACTGATCAAAAATTAATACAGACTGATCAGGGAACCGAAAAAGAACAATAGCTAGGCTTTAACTGTAAAGAAAGGAAAGCAACGAATATAAAGAACTATAAAAGTTGAATCTGAAATTTTAATGGGTCCTGAAAAAGGCAATATTCTCAAGCATTATAATGCCAATGTAAATCTAAAGTGATACACACACACACATACAAAAAAAAAAAAAAAAAAAAAAAACCGCAACAAGCAGTAGAGTATTCGTCGGGTGTTCGAATGCAATTTGCGGCTGAGTAACTACTATGTATAGGAGAAAACTACTATAAAAATTCAACTCTTTAAACCTTGGATTAAGTGGTTGGCTTTTGAAAGTTAAAATTGTTGGACAGATGTAAAGGCAAATAAATTCAGCTGGAGTCTCAAAGTCACCATGGCCGTAACAAAAGCCTATTTAAAAAAGACTAACTTACTACACGCAGAAGTCCAAAACAAGACCGCTAGAAAGCAGCAAAGCAGAATTTCCTTCATAATGCTTTTCACCAGACTAAAATTGTGGGAGAATCAAAATGCTGTTTGTCTTTGCGTGCTGTTTCTGTTTTGAGATAATGTCACGGACAGCAGCTCTTTACTCAGCTGCAGAATGCCCTATTTGCTACTGGAGGAAAATAAGCATTCGAAAGTGCAGGAAAAAAATTGCCGCGCAATTCTCAAAGCCATTAGCAAATAGTAAAAGACAGATGAAGACGACTTTTATTTACTCAACTGTGCGTGCTTCTAAGCAAAATGATAGTGAACCATAGATCGATGACTTTCGATTGATTCACCTTATGAAATAAAACAGCTCAATCATGCCATCTACTTATATATTGGACATATGGAGAATAAGTTGCAATTAAAAAACCCTAAGTTTACCTGGTTATTGAACCACTTTGGCTTGTTAACCACATTTATTCTCCTTATATTAATTAATAAGAAATACAAAAAAGTATGTAGAAGAATACGTAGAGCAAAAAATTAGATTTAAAAACAGTCATTAGATGATGTTCATTAGATGTTCACCAGAAAAGTAAATCTGAACTGAAAACTGGAAACTAGTTAACTTTTCAACTAAGTAATTCAACTAACAGTTATTGAGAAAAGTTTTAAGGAAATCAATTATTTGAATTTTCAATCAAATGCATTTAAAGTGTTGATAAATCACTATTCTAAATTTTATATTGATACATTTATTAAATTATGTATTAAGAAAATTCTTTTAAGTGTTTACTTGCATTTAAAGCGGATTGAATAGGAAATTTTAAAGGTTGTCTTTTCCTTCTTTTGTACTTTTCATTGATTTAATTTGATTTGACACTTTTATATTTGTTGCTAATTTCATAAAATAACTAATTAAGTTAGGTTAACGATTAAGACAAAACATTTTAAGGGCTATTGGCTTATGGAAAGAAGATGTCTTCGCGGAGGATATTTTAAGGGAAACTGGCTCGTATTTATGTTACACATGGCAAAATAACAAAAACTCTCATGTAGTCCTTCCGTTCGTTGGAATATGAACCCGAATCGAATTACCAGTGCATAGCAATTTGACCTCTTAGCCGCTGATAGGACTACGTGTTTTCTAGTTATTAGAGTTAGTTTGGATTTATTGATTAAATATTAAGAGTTGCAATAGTAATGAAATACTTTTTAATAAATAAAACATTGAGATTTCGAAAGAAACAAAAGGGATAAAAAGATCTATCAATTATTGCTATTTATTCTTGTATTTAGTACTATTAGTTTTATTAGTGGAAGAATACTGCTATTCTTATAGATTATGATTGCCAAGAAGTTTAGAAAACTTCTTGGCAATCATAATCTATAAGAATAGCAGTGAATTATCGCTAAGAAACAACTAAAACTTGAGAAGAATGTAAAAGATACTAAGTTAAGATATGAAATTTAAATTCAAATAAACTAGTAGCCGAGGCTACAAAAATGAGTTAACACGAAGTTGGCTCAAAACTTAACAGGCGTGGATATCAACTATCAGCAATTATAATGCAGGGCCGAAGACTGACAGACATTACTTTATTTAGCAACCTAGTAATGTGGCCTTGAGAGGCAAAACACGCTTTGTCTTACAATCTGAAAACTTCACCTAAAATACACTTGAATTAATTTGCATTCTTGGGGGGGGACGGAAAAGATAAAGAGTGTAAAGATCCAAACCTAAAATAACTATTCAATTCATAACGAAACCTTCTAAACTAGAACATATATTCAACTTAAAATAAAATCCAAACATAACACTTTTTAGATATTAATTAGTTATCAAATGCTATGTTGAATATGTTACTGAGAATAAAAAAATAATGAGTTTTGGAAGCTTTAGAAATTTTTAATTTAAGTCCATTTTTATATTTAAACGTAACAATTAAAATATGAATCTTATTATAAACAGCTATTTCATTTAATAAAAATTCGTAATATAATGAAAATTTTGAAGAAAACGAAAAATGTCTTATTGGTGTTTGGTTATGTTATTGTTTTTCTAAATTAATATAGACGTAAGGATTTGATTTTAGAAATTTGCATATTTTTGGCAATTTAACAAACACGCTGACACCTCGCTCATCGTAATGTCGATTAACACCGATTCGATAAAAGTGGTTTCTTGAAAATTCAGGGGGGAGGAGGAACTTAATTTATTTTGATTTCTTATCAAATGTTTCTACCGGAAGTCTTAAAATATACCAAATTTATCAAGAGAGCAGATAAAGATGCCAAAATGAAACAAACAATTACATGAAGCAACAACCTTGTGTTTGGCGTAGATTTAAATCAAGACTCTATTGATTTCGAGGGCCACCATGTATAGGTCCCTCTTCATCAGGAGCAAATAAATTCTGCAACGAAGGGAGGAGCTCTCCCTCCGTTGCAGAATTTCTTCAAGTGCCTTATAATTTCTTTATTCTTAAGCACTTATAATTTCTTTTAGTAGTTAATCTTATTAATTTTTATATATTACTTTATTCAAGATTCGAGTTCAGTAATAACGCTGTTTTTTTAAATGACTCTGCATAAATAAAGCTTTACATTTCATTTTTAAACATTTTTATTTAGATTCATATACCGTAAATGAAATGGGGACTCTAGTCGTCCTCATTTGTGGGTGGTCTGGACGCATTTCCTAATTGTCGAAAAACCAAAAATTGCTAGTTAGGCTGGCTGGGCTGCGCCGACTTTTGATTAGACAAATGAAGTACTATGGATTTCCAATTGAAAAATCGATAAAACATTGTTTTTAAAATTTTTTCTTAAATTTAAACAGAAAGATAAAGTTAAAAAAATGCAGAAGAAACAGATAATACTGTAACTTAAAAGCAGGTGTACTAAGACAATAAAATATATAAAAGCAGGGAAGGAAAAAAACAATCCAGTAAGTAGGGAAAAGTTTCCTTTAGAAGTTATCCTGTTCTAAAATCATCCGTCAGTTGAGTTCACCAGATCCTAAGCGGTAAAGTCGCTGAACATTGATATTTCGACTCGGTTTTTAATCTCGAAGAAAGGTTGGTTGCAAAGATATTTTCGTGGTTTCTCCATACCTGTAACATGAATATGACCCAGTTTGCTTCAGAAAGTCCTCCACGAAGGCATCTCCTCCTTTAGATAATTAGCCCTTATGTGCTTTGTAGTAGTCCAAATAATCCAGAATGCAGAGATAGTGAAGGGTCGCCATGAGAGAGTTCCCTATATTTAGTTTAATCTTTGAACTACTTTGATAATTCAAAATTTGTTACACCGCTGATATTATGATCACATCCATCTATCAAAGTTCTCATAGAGTTAATTAAACATGCCTGTAAAATTGTAAGTTCTGTTGATTATTTTATGCTTTGCCCGAGTTACTGATAAATAAATTTATCTCAAAATGCATTCCAAACGTTATGCTACAGGATATTCAAGATTATTTTTAATGGAAAAGACACAATTTTGAATGCATACAATATAAAATTTAGCTTAATTTAGTGTGAAACTATTGTATTCCGAGGCAAGCAGACTTTATAGCTAACAGAGAGCAAAAAAGAGCTTTGATGTGTTTGCCTCAAATGTAATAAACTAAGTAACCATTCAGTAAACTAAAATATTTCCTTTTCTAGAACTTGATTTTTATTGAGTAGAGAAAAAAAAAAGAAGAGACATATTTGAATACCTTTTATGCTTTCAATTTTTTATATATTTCATTAAAAAATTGAATAATTAATTCTTCTTCGGGATGTTATATTGCAATATGAAGTTTTCAGTTTGCTGTTAGTTTTAATGTTGCATGTTAAAAGCATGAATGTATATGCATCTGGCTACAGGGGCTTAATTCCTAAAAACTAAAAGCTCCAGAGTCCTGTGGACCATTAAGAAAGGTAATCAAAAATAAAAAAATAAAATACGTAATAAAGAATAATTAAAATTATAATAAGATGTAAAGAGATATATAAAAGATTAATAAATTAAATTAATGGCAAATAGTTCAGTAATAAAATTACTGGAGCTCATATTATTTGGCCTCTGGTTGGAATTATAATTGCTCGCCAGAAACATGCCGGAGTTCTCTGGAAGGCTGTTAAGAAAGTAAAAATATATATTATATATATATAGGAAAAGAACAATTAGAATTAAAATATAAAGAGATAAATATCAGAATAATAAATTAAATAAAACTAATGATCCATAGTTAAACTAATAAAATAAATATTTTGGAGTTCATCTTAGTTGGCCTCTGCCTGGATTTTAATCAAAGGACCTGAGCCTTGCTCCAGTTGGTTTAGATCATACAAGTTAGTTAATTTCCAGGGATAAATAGAAGGGCTAGCTCATTTCTTTGTTCGACTCCTCGCCAACGCGAGCCTAATGGGGGGACGTAACAGGCAATAATCTGACGTCACTGTGATGCCACCTGTCCTGATTTCCCGCTTTTAAAACAGTAGTTTCATTGAGCTGCGAGACGATTTTCAAGAGGTTACATATCCCAAATTAATTTATATATATATCTGTTTTCTAATAATGTATATATTTAAAATAATTTATATATATGTAATTTTAGTCAGTTTTTATTTTAAATTCTATATTGTAAAGTATCGTTACGTAATATGGCTTTTTTGCGCTGCAGTAACGTGCCGTAGCACTTACAGAAGTATGAAAGGATGAGATATTTTATTTCATGAGACCAAAGGATCCAAATGAGAGTTTGCTTTTGACGAAAGAATGGATACACAAATGTCAAAAAGAAGAGATATATTAATGTGATGAGCGGAAAAATCTGCAGCGAACATTTTCTATGCAGTGTTTATGAAGATGATATGAAAAATCGCTTGTTTGGATAGCCACAAAAAGAAACTGTTGAAATGGAATGCTGTGCCGAAAGTAAATTATGATGACAATAATAAATCGAAATTGATGATGAAAATAATAAATCAAATTTTAATGATTTTGAAATAAAACTCACAAATGAAAATGTAGATTATTCTGAATGTTTAAGGATAAACAAGAATGCATTGATAATTTGAAGAACAAAATAATATCCTTAGAAAATTGTATTACATTGTATTAAAGTATTGAAAAATAGAGAAAAGAAAAATTTTAGAATGTT